GGACCATGCGCGCCAGGCCACGAATCTTGTTGGGGACGCTATTCGAGTGGGTTTCCAAGATACACACCGCGGAACCTGCAATGGTGCCATCAGCCTCGGTGTACTGCCTGGAGTAGGCAGGTGATAGACATACTGTTGGAGGTGCCACTGCCTCGTAGAATGGCATCCCGTCCCGTAGCTTGGATAGCGGAGACAATCGAGCTGGGTGGTGCCGTCCCCTCGATGAAGACTAGCTGGTCCTTAAGGTTTGCCTCGACCTTGTTGATGCCTGACCGGTCAGCTCGCGCACAGGGTTGCAATGCGGATGCGCCTACCCTCCAACTTCTTCAGCGATGCGGACACATCCTTGACGCAGCCCTCGCAGGTCATCGGGACCGCAAAGGTAGTCTAAGCGATTAGTTAGGCATTCCCCTCACGAGATGCATCGTCAACCCTGGCAAGAGCCCACCTGAAACGGTTCAATCATCTTGTCTGGATAGAAAGTACTACAACACCAATGTGCATGTAAGTGTCACCGTAGAAGAAAGAGGGAAAAAGGAATTGTGGATTCTCATGGAATGCCCCTCGAATGTAGTTGATGCGGGACGAGGCGGGGACGCTTTGAAATCAACCCAATCGGGCTTAGTCACTCTGTTCTCGCCGATAGCGTCATCCGACCAATCAAGCATCACTTTCTCGCCGCAATTCCGTCCGCGTCCAGCTTGTCTACAGCTGCTGCTTTGCATCCGGCACTCTCCCCACAATCCCATCCATCCATTGTCATTCGCCCCACGCCAATCCAGGCCATCGCAGCATGTCCTCCAAATCCAGATGGGCCACCGACGACGACCCCGAAACGGAGGCTATCCTGGCCCAGCGCAAGCGCGAAAAGGAAGAAAAGCGACGCGCCAAAGCCGAGAAACAGCGCCAGCTGGACGAGCAAGCCAAGCTCCAAGCCCAACAAGCTGATACAGATAGCAGCGCACCACCCACCAAGCGTCGCCGACTCTCAAACGACCACATCCCAGACCAACAACAAGCAACATCCAGCACCACCACCACAAACAATGAACCCAACATCCTCACCTTCCCAACCCAAGAATGGGGACCCTGTCGAAACGTCACCAACTTCGAACGCCTCAACCACATCGAAGAAGGCTCCTACGGCTTCGTCAGCCGCGCCAAAGACATAACCACGGGCGAAGTAGTAGCCCTGAAGAAACTCAAGATGGACAACTCCCCAGACGGATTCCCAGTAACAGGACTCCGCGAGATCCAAACCCTCCTCGAAGCCCGCCACCAAAACATAGTCTACCTACGAGAAGTAGTAACAGGCACAAAACTAGACGAGTACACCTCCCCCCTACCCTTCATCCATCCCATCACACGCAGTCCTAACCGAAATCCACAGAATCTACCTAGTAATGGACTTCCACGAACACGACCTCAAAACCCTACTCGACGAAATGCCCGAACCCTTCCTCCCCAGCGAAATCAAAACCCTCCTCCTCCAACTCCTCTCGGGCCTCAACTTCCTCCACGACCAATGGATCATGCACCGCGACCTCAAAACCTCCAACCTCCTCCTCAACAACCGCGGCGAGCTCAAAATCGCCGACTTCGGCATGGCCCGCTACTACGGTGATCCGCCCCCGAAACTCACCCAGCTCGTCGTGACCCTCTGGTACCGGGCTCCGGAACTCCTTCTGGGGGCAGAGAAATACGGCACCGAGATCGATATGTGGAGTGTGGGGTGTATTATGGGCGAGTTGTTGACCAAGGAACCGCTATTGCAGGGCAAGAATGAGGTCGAGCAGGTTTCGAAGGTGAGCCTAACCCCTCCGCCCCCCTCCAATCCTCTTCCCAAAACCATCACTCTGTGAAGGATCATGTTGACTAATAATAATGTGATGTAGATATTCGCCCTCACCGGCCCGCCCACACCCCAGATCTGGCCTGAATTTAGATCACTACCGAACGCCAAGTCACTACGGCTGCCGCCGACTGCATCTACTACTACGGCGGGAGGAAACCCGCCTCTACTGCCTCGGACCAAGTTCCCGTTTTTGACAAACGCTGGGCTACATCTGCTCTCATCGTTGCTGGCGTTGAATCCCGGGGTGCGGATGTCGACGAAGGAGTGTCTGGCGCATCGCTACTTCAAGGAGGATCCTCGGCCGAAGCCGAAGGAGATGTTCCCAACGTTTCCGTCTAAGGCGGGTATGGAGAAGCGCAGACGGAGGGAGACTCCCGAGGCGCCGAAGCGGGGGCAGGAGGCTCCGAAGCTGGACTTTGCGAGTGTGTTTGGTGGGCAAGGTGGTGGGGAGACGGGGGAACAGGGGGCTGGGTTTACGCTACGGCTGGGCTAGTATGGAGCCTGGTTTAATGTCTTATAATGTGCATATAGAACCTCGTGTGATTCAGGTTTTGGAGCGAGATGTCTCGATATCCAAAATACCTGGAGGTATCACTAAAATACACTTCCAAACTGAACAGCAAGGTGTGATAAGGAACGTCACAGGTTAGGTAACATGCAAAGTGAAATGAAGGCAGTACCGACATCACTCACGTCAGCATGGACTCACGAAAAGTAGTGTCTGTCGATGGCCGGGTATGTCATAAGGTACTCGTCTGAATCGCTGGTGTTATACTCGCGTCGGAACGGCCGTGTGCCACGTACCTGGACGGGCGTGCGCGGACCAATGATCTCGGGGATATCATGCACTCTGTTCGACGAGTTGCGGTCGAGCCCTGGCCCACTATACAAGCAGCCATCACCGCTGAAGCTGCGCTCCGCTTTGGTGGCGTTGTTCCCCCTATCCGGACGGAGATCGTTGGATTTGTCCACTAGGAAGTACTCGTCTCGCAATGCTAGCAGCGACGCCAGATCGTCCTGAGACGATTGGCTGCGCAAGACCGACGCATCGGTACCATGTTCACTCAGACGATCCTCTGCTCTAGCCGGGATTAAGGGCATATTTTCTATCGAATCAATGCAGCGGACAATACGATTATCGGCGCCTTCCTGCACCTGTCCAGAAGTAACGCGCATATCAATCGTAATGCGAGGTATTTCACCACCTTGATTCGACAACTCGGGGATTTCAGTTGATGGCAATTTCGGGGAGGGGCTGTTGATCGAATCCACTGCCCCTGGTGAGTGACTGGCTGAATGTCCAGCGTTCTCGTAAGCTTCGTATGTCACGACCTGTTCCCCATCATGACTTTCACCCAGCTCTAGCCGTTGGCACAGCTCCAAAGACTCTATAGCCAACTCAGCATCTATGATCTGTGAGTTGGAGACGTAGGGTGCCATGTTGGCGCTCGAGCCAACAGGTCTGGCACTGCTTGTGTCGATGATTGGCACCGAAAGATTGCTGGGTCTGCTCGCGCTGGCCGCACCATCCCTGTCACTATCGACTGTTCCAGACGGCAACTGTGGCTCAGAAGCGCCACTGTTGGAAGGAACAGGAACTGTGATGCACAGACCCTCGGTCTCGCTGCCTGCTGCTTGCGAAAAGTACGACTCGCTAGGATTGCGGGAGGATGAGCTCGGAATCATAGGCTGAGGATTGTCTCCTCCGATAGCATCTGTAGACGCCACATTATGAGACTCCGTTCCCCTATCTTTATTGCTCGACGTTGATCGAGCATTTGAGAAGGTCAAAGTAAGGAACTCTTCAGTCTCCCGATGAGGCACAACGGTCGACTCTGAGGAAACCGTTCCATCTTCCCATACAAATGGCCCCGGCAGACTCCGTAAATACCTGTCCATGTTGCCATCCGGCGGGTAGTTGCAGCTGATGCGCTGTAGGTCAGTACCAAACTCAACATCTTCCTCTGTGCTAGCCTCTGACACAGTCGACGAGTAGAGCGTGCCCTGCTGGTCTGAAGAGCCCTTGGCTGAATCCGTGGACGACCAAAGGCTAGGTATATCATCGTTATGGCTTGGACGAGGAATGGGACGCCTGCGAAACCTAGGTCGGAAGGACAAAGAGTGCATTTTCCCCATGGACTTCTTCGGCAGGCTTTGCATCCACTGCTGCCATGATGTAGATGCAAGCGAAGGGTTGTGCCGCGGGTTTTGCGGATCAAAAACGGGGTAGTGGGCGCTTTCTTCGCAAGTGGTGGGAGGAGGTGTTGATGGTCTTCTAGTTCTTCATGCTATCTGTCAGCTTACAGAATCCACACAATCATATAGTTCGCCTACCTATTCCGGCTCATGGACGGACGAAGAGACGAGAACGACAACGACTGACGACGTCTGCTTCGGCCACTGCTTGAACCCTCGGGCTTCATGGCTGTGCTATTCAGGTGCCTGATATTGACTCGGTGAATCAGAAGCTCCGAACAAGAGTTGTACAGAAAGATACTTTGCGGGGGAATGATCTGGGCAGTGGGGTCCCCAGTGGGTAAATAGCCAGCAGCAGGCGATGCCAAAGTACATACGAGACGGGTCATACCGGGTGCATTTGCAATGTTGGACAAGGCAGGCATTGAATTGAGTGGCTGCTTCTCTGCCTGTATTACCTGCATGGCGGTTTCCTGAAATATCTCGGCTGTGAATGTACAAACAAAGTGTCGGGGATATACTTTGATTGGCTCCTAGACAAATTCTTACTATTTCTGTTTCGTAATGAATGCTTCTCTTTCATCTGAGTTAAGCTTAAATAAAGAACATTGCAGACTACCTAAGGCTTCAGGTGGTGCTGGCGAATCAAGCTCCTTGTTTGGGTCATACTATAAACTAGACTAAGGTGTTTCTCTCTGATAGCTGACAGTTACTAAACAATCAATAGTATCACGGAGCTGTGCTACTGGCACACCAACCTTCGTTCATGCCACACCCTCTCCCTACCCTTTTCCTGCGCTAAGTCTACCCCAGAAGATAAGGCTTGTTTTTGTATATGCAGAAGCCAAAGCCTATCGCCATCCCTTTGAATTCAGATCCCCAGTATGCTAGGCCTGAGACGCGAGAATGAAGAGCAAAGTCTATCAGGTCACAACTCCATATCACAGGATCAACAACCATACCGAGCCATGAGAGCCTTGAATGAAGGATCGGCCAAAAGCTGCGTCGCAGTCAGACGCTCCTCGGGCGAGTATAGGAATACCTTCTGCATGATGGAGAGCACAAGTTCTCGTTCAGCCGGGTCAGCATCGGGTCGATAGCGCGCAAGCTCTGATGCGAGGGTGTTGTTCGTATCGGGTGTTCGATTCTGGTCGTACCAGGAATCCAGACAATCATCATAGATGTAAGATCCTTTCCATTGCTCTGGTAGCGGGCCCAGACGGGCGGTAATAGTCGTCAAAACTCCGCCTATGTACCCATCATGGAATGGTCGTCCCCCTTGGTAAAGTTCAACAAAGTTGACCATGTAGCTCCACATGTCGCAGGCAAAGCTTGGAGCTTCTCCATGGAGACGCTCCGGGGAGCAGAAACACAGAGGTGGTTCGCCGGGTTGAGCCACGGGATCGCCAACCTTCATGGCCAGACTGAAGTCAGCGAGATAGAAATCTTCAGTGCGCAGGGTTTCAGGGACTCGTATGGGCCGCACCAACTCTCCAGGCTTCCAGAGCTCGATATCTTGGATGGTTATCTTTAATGGCCGAGTGAGTAGTTCATATTTAGCAGTCCTGCTAAGATTGTGAAGAGGTGCCATTCCCCACAGGCAGTTTCTCTCGCTCAGGTCTTGACGATGATTCATTAGATGGCGACGACATGAAATGTGTAGAATAACTTACCGCGGTGCACAATCCCAGCGTTGTGCAAAGCTTCCAATGCCTTTAACAATTGCTTCGCAGCTGACATGCGAGTACTTATAGCTAAGTTTGTCACTGTATAACGGTCAAGACACGGCCCCATCAAAGGAAACACCATAACCCTATGGTTACCATGGTTTCCTATCAGTGTGAAAGTGTCTGAATATGTCACAAGATGGGACCTGTCCTGCACGCTCTGAACGATCACATCTTGTATACGTAGCTCGATGCCTCCGCAATCGCCAGTGCGCAAGACTTTGACAGCAACATCTTTATTTTCCTGGAGGTCAAGGGCCATCCAGACCGTCGAGAAACCACCAGAACCGAGCTTATGCTCAATCAGATATCTTTCATTGAGAATCTCTCCAAGGCAAATAGGATAGAAAACGCTTGGCGTTACCTGGCGATCATACTTTTCCCAAGGCTCAGCAAATTCATCGAGCTCAATCTCTTCATCCTCTGTGCTCGCAAAGTCTCCGAAGTCTATCATGTCATCTTTTGCAATTGCTTGCGGTGAGACGCCAATACTCACAGTCTTTGAAGCTGATTGCGCCATCGTCCTAAGGTGCTTGGGTCGGTCTTAAATTATCCGTGATATCTGACATCCGAATATGCTGGTCGGCTGCCCCAGAGTCGCTTAGAAATATTGTGGGTAAGACAGTAGTATGTGAGCTTTGAGACCCGGCACAGTTCAGGCACTATGCAGTTGATAAGAATGGGTTGCACTGCCAATTGTTGGTGGTGATAGTCCTAGTTGGAAGGGACCTCAAGTTTTATATCGACCATACTTTAGGCCTGAGGTTGAAAGTGGAGTCTGAGCACTTCACTTGATGTACATTTACAGTGAAGTACAGTAAATGCTCTATGAATAACCTATTTCAATTATTAGTAGACCACCGGTAGTTCCTGATCATCATACTATCACCGAGTAGTAAACACAAGTATTCAATTCAGATGTCATCTATACGGAGTACCCTACTGCTTATACTATAACACCCGACTTCGCGGCAACCAGAGGTTGATGTAGATGCTTGGATCAAAGACCTGCTCACCTGTTGAAACGCAATTAGGGAGTAACTCTTTACCTTTTCTAGCTATAATATGGCATTGCAGGCACCTGACATGATTGCATCCTCCTAGTTTGTAGGGTCAGACAACACTTGTATCTAGAGTATCTCCTATATCAGAAGGGGCCCCCTCTCTTCTTCTCACAAATTCACAGTGCTGCAGAACCTGCTCTTCTACCTAATCGAAGGGATGAAGTGATTTATTCACCTCTGGGGTAATTCGGGCTAGTTATTCATCTCATTCATAATGAATGTCGTTCCATTCGGTCTCCAGCCTCCTTTCGTTCCTTTCCTATATCAAGCTGCTATTCTATCTGTAACATCAAAGAGTACTCAGCTTTTGCAATGACGTTTACTAAAGTTCTCCCCGCTGATCGTTATGAGGGAACCGTCGATGGAATTGCCATTAAATGGACTCACAACGCTAAAGCTAGGCTGACTACTAATGCCATCGAATACCGAGTGAACGCTACCGCTATGAAGGCAGCTACTGAGTACTTTACGCACAAGTGCTCTAAGCGCCTGGGGAAGGCCACTGCCATAATAATGTAGGTCTTCTTTACTCACTTTAGAACTTGAATCAGATACTCACTTCCTTCATTCTAGTGGATCTTTCCATAAATTCACCACTATCACCAGAACCGGCAAGGAGAAAGCGGCCCACTCCCATATAACGCTTTCCTTAAATCCAGGCGGCGTCAAGGTCCATGTGAACGTTACCTTGCCCGAAGGGGGGGGCCCGTAGAAAATGCCCAGTGGAGAGGTGAAAGCGTCGTATTGAGAAGAAGGGCCATAGCAGACCCAAGCCTGTCCGTAGGCGAGTATGCTGAATTGTCCGACAGGGGTAAGTCTACCATCGCAAAATACATGGAGCAATATGATCTGATTTATATAGATACACCGTCCCCTGTCTTGAACTAGTTCAAGCGCTAGAGAGAAAATAGCAAAGTTGCTATAAGAACCCTATCAAGAGGTTGACCGTACCAGAGTTCCGTGGATTGACTTTTTCGAGTTATCAGCAAGGACGACAAAGGCTTAAGGCTGATAGAAAGCAACAGCAGCGCTATTTAGGGCTACAGCAACGCCGAATGCAGAATGATCTTCCTGAGGAACACTGACAACATGCATCACAGCCGCGAGCAGCAATGACGAGGCAGACAAGCCTTGCAACACTGTGAGATGCCAAAAATACAAACACTGGACAAGGTCTTTGCAGAATAACAAGGGTCGCAGGGATAGACGCTGAAGATTCTGGGTAATTGAACCAAAACACGCCCTGTTACGAGTCTTCCGGGGAGGCTACGCATATGAGAAAGAAGAAACATGTAGGAGGCAAGTCATAGACAAAGAGAGGAGGTGATAATGGTCAGATGCAGCACTCTTTCTAACTTTGACAACTTTGTAGATGTCTCCTCCTTCGTTGTTCATGTAGTTGTGTTGAGCTGCGGTGACGACATTCCTGCGTTGTAGCATATACTGCTTATGGTTTCAAGCAAGTGTTTACGTGACTTTGACGTATTTGACGATATCCAGGGCTTATTTCTTACTTCAATTGATGAAGCACCTACATAGCTAGCATCTCCTATAGCACGCTCGAGCAGGTGCAGTGTAAGAGGATCAATTTGATATGGTATAATTTGACTTGGATTTATTTGCCCAACAGCAACAGCAGGGGAAAAAATAGCGGCTAGAGCAGTCCCGACAAACCCTCGCAAGACAAATAGAAAGCGAATATCCAAGAACCTCATCTGATGTTAGACGACAAATCTGAAGCTATCTCAGCAAAAAAGGAGCTCATACAGACCGTCCCACACCTACAAAGAGTACTGCTTGGACAACTTTCGATTGAGTGTGATCCAATAAGAAATCTAGGACATGTGAAAATAGACAGAATGAGGCTAGGGGTAGAATCTAAACTGATTTAGAATAAAGACATACTTCGAGCTTTTGTAGGATATCCTCACCTTATGTAGTGATATTCACTCAAGCAGTGTCTGCGGCGGGCGAGACGACGGGAGCGGAGCTAATGGCGGAGCTCGAATTCATTCCCGTTCTGTCAGCTCCTCCTGCTGTCATCAGTTCAAGCACCCGACAGATCCTCACCATTCTCAAACAAGTTACTGTGGAAGTTCAATTGACTCCATATATCATTGATCCTAGTCTTACTATCATATCACCCTCACTTTCGGTCCCCAAAGCTCTACTGCCATGGCCGCGAGCCAGGATAGCGTTTCCTTCGATGCGATCATCCAAGCCGGTATGACCATCATTCCCCGACTCACCCACGCAGAGCGCTGGAGACTAACAGGCTTGATTCAGATCGCAAGAGAAGACGCAACGAAGAACTAGCAAACAAGCTCCTGAGCAAGAAGAAATCGACCAACCCGCCTACAAAACCGTCAGGGAAGACGCAGAATGTGAAGCCAGGCAGCCTGGCAAGTCGTATTGGAGTAGCGAAGGTGAGGGCAATCAGGATCTCTGCAAGCTTGCTCATTCTTGTCGCATAACTAATTCGATGGATCGCCCAATTCAGCGCTCCGCATCGGCTACTCTACCGGCCAAAACCACTCCTCCAATCCCAGCGCCCGCGCGACAGGGTGCCCGACAGAACGCAAGGCCATCGAACAAGCGCCGTCCTGATGAGAACCGCCTTCTTTCTGCGCTCAATCCCGCGAGCGGCCAGGCTAACGTGCGAAATGGAGGTGGACTATCGATCAAAGGAAAAGGGTCTGGGCCATTCGTTGTTGTCGGTAGCAACTTCGCGCCAGGGACTACGGCGGCCGATATTCAATCAGCTCTGGAACCTGTTTCCGGCCCGATATTGCGCTGCTGGGTCACTGCGCAACATCCTGTTGTCACAGCGGAGATTACATTTGCAGAGAGACAGGCCGCAGAGGGTGCCGTTGCCAACTTTCACAACCAGAGGGTAAGTCACTCGTCGCAGCTATCAAGGATCTATTCTAATCGATTAGGCCGACGGTCGGATTCTCTCATTCCACCTAAAGCAACCTGCGAACCCCGACCTGTTCGAGCGCTCCAATGCCCAGCCCGCTGTACAGAACTCCCAATCGTTCAGTGACCTCCGCGAGCAAGCAGACCGTGATCGCCGATCTCATCGCTTGGCCGATGCAGCTGTCCAGGATGGACGGTGGGGATTCAATGATCAGAACCAGGCAGGACAAGGCCCATCCAGGGGGAACAATCGCAGAAACCGGGGTGGTCGGAAAGCAAGGGGTGGAGCACAGAATACACAAGAAACAGGCCTCTATAGCGATGAGATGATGGTCGATGCACCTCAGCAGAACCAGCGAAACCGGGGCCGGCGGTAATGCAGCCGTCAGTGGTTCAGTCTGAAAATACGCTGTTCTTTGATACAGGCTGTTCTGCTGATCAGGCAGAATGGATTTACTTCTTTTCGGATTACATGGTTCTGCAATTGCTTGGCTACTTAGAATGAAGACCTGTACGATATGAAGAAATACTTTTTTTTTTTTTTTCTGGACGAATACGCTTTGGACGTAGACAGATCAAATAACTGACTGGAGCGGATTATCGGCAGCTGATATGATAAGAATGCAATCACGTGTGCGGAAGTTTTGCGGAGAAGTTGGAGAGCTTCACGGGATTATTTGCTGGATGTTAATACAAAACCCCTCAAATTAGGGTCTCCTTAACAATACCATATAATTTAGACATATGAATTAACCCGCTACCCTTTAATCGAAAAGCATCGAGATGAACCACGCAACGAGGCGCGCCGTGAGGCAGCTCCTCAGAAGACATCCCAACCAGACCCTCTGCCTCAAATCGCAACGATGGTCCTCAACTACATCCACAACTTCCACATCTACCTCTGAGACAAGAAAATGGTCGACGCCACTAGCGCAGACCCTTGCCAATGCGATCAAAGTACGACATCAATCCAATTGTCATTGAGCCAATCTAATCAGCCTTCCACCAGGTAACCGGACCCGTTCCTATCGCCGCCTTTATGCGCCAGGTCCTCACAAACCCCGAAGGAGGATACTACACCACGCGACCAGAAGGCCATGGCGAAGTATTTGGCAAGAAAGGTGATTTCGTCACCTCGCCCGAGATATCGCAGGTCTTCGGAGAATTGGTGGGGATTTGGACAATCGCGGAATGGATGGCGCAGGGACGGAAGCGCAGCGGAGTGCAATTGATGGAGGTTGGACCGGGGAAGGGCACATTAATGGATGACATGTTGCGTGTGAGTTGTCCAGTTGTGCAGACTTTGTGACGCCTTACAATTACTGATACGGACGGTGCTAGACATTCCGGAACTTCAAGATGTTCTCGTCGAGTATAGAGGCGATATATCTGGTGGAGGCTAGTGCCACGCTGCGGGAAGTGCAGAAGAAATTGCTTTGCGGGGATGCAGTCATGGAGGAAACGGATATCGGACACAAGAGTACATGCAAGTACTTTGATGTCCCGATCGTTTGGGTGGAGGATATCCGACTGTTGCCGCATGGTATGGAAGTATGACTGATATCTGCGCGATGAACATTTTACTCATGGTTACTCTACAGAGGAAGAAAAGACCCCCTTCATATTCGCCCATGAGTTCTTCGACGCCCTCCCAATCCACGCCTTTGAATCCATCCCTCCCTCTCCAGAAAACCAGCCTGAGCAGAAGGAAATCATGACTCCCACCGGCCCAGCAAAACTACACCAGCCCTTGAAGCCAGCTAACACTCCCCAATGGCGCGAACTCTTGGTCACCTTGAACCCGAAAGCCGTGGAGGAGAACATTGAAGGCGAGCCCGAGTTCAAGCTGACCCTCGCCAAGGCATCGACGCCATCCTCTCTCGTCATCCCGGAGATCTCTCCGCGCTACCGCGCCCTCAAATCCCAGCCGGGATCCACCATCGAAGTCAGCCCGGAGAGTCGTATCTACGCAGCTGACTTTGCGCGCCGCATCGGCGGTGCCTCAGAACCACCCCGCACGGTCACAAAGGGCGCTGCTGCTTCTGCGCCGGCCCCCGCGAAGCGCACATCTTCCGGTGCTGCCCTGATCATGGACTACGGCACTCTCGATACCATCCCGATCAACTCCCTGCGGGGTATCCAGGAGCACAAGAACGTGCCGCCGCTGTCGTCGCCAGGACAGGTGGATGTCAGTGCTGATGTGGATTTCACGGCGTTGGCGGAGGCGGCGATCGAGGCTAGTGAGGGCGTGGAGGTACATGGACCGGTCGAGCAGGGTGATTTCCTGCAGGCGATGGGCATCGAAGAGCGCATGCAGCAGCTTCTGAAGAAGGTCGATGATGAAGAGAAGCGCAAGACACTGGAGACAGGGTGGAAGAGACTGGTTGAGAAGGGCGGCGGTAGTATGGGCAAGATCTACAAGGTGATGGCCATCGTTCCGGAGAATGATGGCAAGCGTCGACCGATTGGATTCGGCGGTGGACTTGTGATGTAGCTGTCAATACTGCCCTGTATAATATAGCATAGACTTGTAGACAATCAACAAAATACCATATAAGACTCTTATTCTAAAGCGCCAACCATGCATCTGTCCCACTTTCACCCATCTACCCAATCCAACCCACCAGTGAAAATAAAGAATAAAATAAAAAGGGTATCACCACCAAACCAATCAATCCCTCCAAACCCAACCTCCTATTCATAACTGAAACATGGATTTAATACTCCCTCCAAATATCCTCCACCCAAGCCTGCGTCAACCTCTCATCAGGCCCATACTTCTCCTGCCACTGCACGAACCCACCCTCGAGGACAAACACCTCCTGCTTCTTACTCTCCTCCTCGCCGAGGATGCGCTCGCGCTCGCGGGCATACCGCAACGCAGCAGACGGCCCGCGCTGCTGGCTCAACGCGCAGTGGAAGACCACCTTTTCTTTGTCCGCCAGGGTGCGGATGAGTTCGGGGAGGCGGTAGTCTAGTGACGAGCTGGGGACCCAGGTGGAGGTGGTGATGTGGCCGCCGACGTGGTCTAGAAAACTTATTAGTATAGTGGATAAGAAGTGGAGGAAGGTGGATATACGTACCAGAATCACGCACATCGATAATGGCGAGTTTGCTAGGCGTGGAAGTCGAGAGGAGAAGGGCTGAGAGGGCGTCGCGGCTGATGCGGGGGAGGGTTGCGATGGTTATGGAGGACATTTTGGTTGATTTTTCGTTTCGGGGTAGAGGGTGAAGTGATGAGAGAGAAATAGGAAAGGGATGTTCTGCTTCTGCAGAACTACACGTATTCAGACTAAACAAAGTCCTCGATATTCAAATCTTAGTCCACCGTACAGACATAAGTATACTAGAGTACTATGTAGCGGAGTCCCGGCGGAATCAACCACGCAGTCACGTGCCCGCAATTTCCGATCCGCAACCCGCAACGGGCGAGATTTATCCCATATCCAACAATAATAATTCCCTCGACGCCTGTCCTCCTCCTCCTCCTCCTCCTCCACCACAGCATTCAGCTAGGATAGGACGGTGATATCCCGAGAAACACACCTCTCCAGTTACCAATTGACTAGGATCCGTCGAATCCTCACCATTAATCACCATGGACATGCGCGCCCTATCCCGCAGCCTCCTCCGGGCGAAGCCAACCACGACCCTCTACAAGAGCCAGCAGCAACAGCATCTCCTCCCAGCACGAATTGGCCTACGCTTCTCTTCTGACTCCTCCTTCTCCTCCTCTTCCTCTCCATCCAACAAGACCACCACCACCACAACTACACAACCCCCGACCCGCCAAACACAACAACCCTCCTCATCCCCATCAACGTCCCAAAAACCCACCGACTTCGACCAAATCCTCAACAAGCTCAACTTCAACAACACCAACACCACCACCACCACCACCCCCACACCCGGCAGCAATGCGGCAGCTACACCCGGCAGCACCACCCGCGCCTTCAACGATAGCCTCTCCCTCTCGCGGGCGGTAGGCCTCTCCGCCGAGACAGACGGCCTGCGGACGGCTACATCCCTGCGCAAGATCGATCTGAAGCTGGGCCCGACGCTGGGAAGACAGGTGACGGTTGAGCCGGAGCGCGGGATGGATTTGCCGGCGGCGTTGAGGTCGCTGAGCACGACTATTGGTCAGAATAAGATGAAGCAGTCGTTGATGAAGCAGAAGTATCATGTGCGGAAGGGTATGGTGCGGAAGCAGCTCAGGATGCAGAGGTGGAGGAAGTTGTTCAAGTTTTCGTTTCAGGCGACGGTTAAGAGGATTCAGAAGATTAGGGGGCAGGGGTGGTAGATATTCCTTGCAGGGGGATGGATGGTTGAGGGTGTGTGTGTATAGAGGGATATGTATGATGGGGAGTGGGTAAAAGGATTATTTTGTGTACTATATTGTTGTAGAGTTGTATTTTCGTTGTGTTTTGTTTTGTCTGCTATGTGTGTTGAATCTACATGAGATACTATACTGATAGTATATCTGCATCTGCATCTGTTTGTATCTCCTTCTATCATCATCCGCATCAATCATACATTCAATCAATCAATCAGTCAATATACACATCAATCCCTCTTCCCACTCATATACCCTCCATACCCATACCCTCCATATCCTCCTCCCCCTCCTACACTACCACCACCACCACCACCACCCACAGCAACACTCGCAGGCGAATACCCTCCATACCCATTCATCCTAACCCCATTCCCATTCCCACCAAACCCCTTCCTCCCAGCACCGCCAGTAACCCCCAGAATCCCCTCTCCCCTCCCCCGTCCCCTCCCATAAACCCTCTCCCAATAAACCGCCAACACAGCCCCAACCACCGCAGCAAATCCAAAAAACACGACCCTCGAGAACCACCCCCCACCACAACTCCCCTCCTCCTCATACCCATCCCCACCACTAGGCCACCCAATCCCCCTCCCCCCCTCCACCCACTTAACACTAAACCGAAACGTCAACGGCTCGCCCCTCACAACCTTCGTCCCATGACCCTCCGTCCACGGCTCCCTAGCCCCCCGATTATCAAACTCGGGCACACTGTACGCCGTGCCCGCAACCACATACCCGGGGTCCGTGCGCTTATTCTTTTTCTTCTCCGTACTGGCCATGTTATGCACCAGGACATTCATATCCGTCCATATATGCAGATGGCTTAGTTGCAATGTGCCCTGGATGGCGAAGGTGATGGGCGTGTAGGCTTGTTCGCCGGTGAAGTCCACATCATCAATTATATCGATGTCTGGAGAGGAAGGGGAGGCAGAGAGAAGCGGCGCGGTGGGTACGCGACATGTCATGGGGACGTCCGAGTGAACGTAGTACTCTAGTAAATGGTAGAGCTCATCGGGGAGGGAGGCGATGGTGCATGTTAGGGTTTGTTCGGCGATGCCGTAGTGGAGAGATAGCGGTTGGGAGGTCTCGTTGCATGTTGGGAAGGGGATGTATTGGAGGTTGCCCAGGGGGTCGGTTATCTATCATATTTGTATGTTAGTTGTGTTGTGTTGTGTTGTGTTAGGTTTGGATTTGGTGGTTATTGTGGATGGGTGGCGTACGTGTTCGCCGGAGTCACTGTTTACCACCAATTATGTTAGTACGTCGTTACAGTTAAATTATTGAGTGGGATAAAGATAGGGACGGCGTACATCGTCCGGTTCAGACATGTTACTGGCACCGCTTGGCCATAACTGTAGCCGGGGTTTGCTGTTGCGCGTTGCTCACTGCTGCTTCTCCCCGCTGCGGTGGATGTGTGGAGGAAGAGGAGACTCAATAGTCCATAGTGATAGATCCGATGGAGGGATGCCCTTTCAGGAACGGGCATTATGAATAAATAGGAGAAAATAAATAATTGATTCGGAGCTCTCGCCGGCCAGCGCAATGGGGAATTTCGCGCGCTGGCAAGGTAGAAGGCGGGTTTTGATGATCAGGAGAAGCGGCGTGGTCGGAGCCGCGGTAAGGAGACGGACCCTTTTTGCTTACCGACTTGAGTCTATTTGGACTGCATGTTGCACTTACTACATAAGAGGCTCGTGAATTCAACGCTACTGGCTATTCCTTGGTATATTTTCAGGTTTCATGCGATCTAATTGTCTAAAGTTCAGCTGCAAGTACTGCACTGTCCAACAGTTCATTGCTAACTCATAATTAAGGATGACACTCGTGGCTTCATCAAAATGACTATGTACTCCTTTTGCTATTTCAATCCCTTTTCGTATCCAAAAATTTACGCCAGGTTGGCCTTCTTCTTGAAGGCAAGCAGCAGACCGCTGGTCGACGCATCGTGGTCCGAGCCAGCGTCCGCGGTCTCGAGCTCCTTCTGGATCTTCTTGGCAAGCACCTTGCCCAGCTCCACACCCCACTGGTCGAAGGAGTTGATGTTCCAGATGGCACCCTCGGTGAAGGTAAGGTGCTCGTAGTAGGTGATCAGAGCTCCCAGAGTAGAGGGGGTGATCTTCTGGGCCAGGATGGAGGTCGTCGGGCGGTTGCCCAGGAAGGTCTTGTGAGAGACCAGGTTCTCAGGGGCACCCTCGGCCTTAACCTGCTCAGGGGTCTTTCCGACCATCAGGGCCTCGGACTGGGCCAGGAAGTTGGAAGCCAGCATGCGCTGGTGCTTGCCGCCCTCAACGGGGTTGTGCGACTCGGCGGCCATGATGAAGTCGGAGGGGATGAGCTTGGTGCCCTGGTGCAACAGCTGGAAGAAGCTGTGCTGGGCGTTGGTGGCGGGCTCACCGAAGAGGATGGGGCCGGTGGTGTACTTGACGTACTCGCCGGTGCGGGTGATGGCCTTGCCGTTACTCTCCATGGAGAGCTGCTGCAGGTAGGCAGGGAAACGGTGCAGGTACTGGTCGAAGGGGGCCACCAGATGGGTCTGGGCGCCGAAGAAGTCGCTGTACCACACGCTCAGCAGACCACCGAGAACGGGGATGTTCTGCTCCAGAGGAGCCTCGCGGAAGTGCTTGTCCATGGCGTGAGCACCGGCCAAGAACTGGTGGAAGTTGTCGTAGCCGATGTACAGAGCGACGGACAGACCGATGGCGCTCCAGACGGAGTAGCGGCCACCCACCCAAGACTCGAAACCGAACATGTTCTTCTTGTCAATGCCGAACTTGGTGACCTCCTCCTCGTTGGTGGACAGGGCCACGAAGTGCTTGGCAATGTGAGAGTCCTCCTTGGCAGTCTCGAGGAACCACTTCTTCGCCGTGTTGGCGTTGGTGGTGGTCTCTGCGGTAGTGAAGGTCTTGGAAGCGATCAGGAAGAGAGTGGTCTCGGGGTTGGAGTTCTTGAGGGCCTCAGCGATGTGGGTGCCGTCAATGTTGGAGACGAAGTGCAGCTTCATGTCGGGGGCACCGTAGGGCTTCAGAGCCTCGGTCACCATGACAGGACCACTAGTTGTGATGTTAGCAACGGCTTTTCATTTCATCACTTCCATTGGCCGACTTACAGGTCGGAGCCACCGATACCGATGTTGATGACGGTGTCGATCTTCTTGCCAG